TTAACGAAAATGATGTCAACAATTGCATTGAAGAACTTAGTTTGAATAATTAAAATATTGAAGTGTTTTTTTGGTTCGGGCATTTATTGAAATAATGTTTTTATGCCCCAGTATATTCCTTATAAAAAACTGTTATTAAAGAATAAAAAAAGAAATGTATTAAATAAAATAATAGATATTTTTATTATAAGTTTAATTTAATTAGATTTTAAAATATTTGGCAAATAAGCAGTCGAGTAAAATTTTTCCAAAATTGTAAATGGTTAATATTTTGGCAAAGACTTATTAGACAAGTTTGCCTTAAATGAAATAGTTTGACTTAAATGGTTTATGTTAATGGTTTAAAAACTATTGACAATAGTAAACAGTGGGTTAAACTAGAAAATAATTAAATGGTTAAGTAGAATAATATTTAAACTAACATTTATATTATAGTTTAATGTACAGTTGAATCTTAAAAATAAAACCAAAACACATTTTAAGTATTGTTTTGTATGTCCCAACATGTTTGTTTCGTTGAATTTAAACATGTCAAAATACACAATCTCATTCAGAAATGTTTGTGTTATTTTATTTTTTTTCGTAAATAAAATAAATTAGCAGTATTTCTTATCGTGATGGGTAAATAATGGGGTGCGCAACCATTGACAAAATATTTGCTGTTTGCCCGTTTTTTTAACACAAAACATACTTTGCTTTAATTGTTTTATTTTTACAACTAATCGTGATCTTCAAAATCTCGAAATCTGAGATTTTATAAAAATAATCTGCCATAACAACCAAAAAAATCAAAGCCAGAAATTTGAACAAAAAATATTTTTTTTTGTTATAATGCATTTTAGTTTTATAAATTACTTTTTTACTTTAAAACTTTAATGCCAAAATTATTTAACATTTTAATTAAAAATCCAATATTTGCGCTTTTTTACCACCACGAATAAATGATATAATTACAATATTTTCAACAATTTCACGTTATTTTGATTCATTTTAAATTATGACAACAACCAAACTTTCCATTATTGTTTACATTTAAAAACAAAAGAAAACAAGCTAAAATTTAAGTAAAAACAGTATTTGGTATAACAGTACTTGTTAAACTACTACAAAATTATAAATCTTGATAAAAAGACAATTAAATGACATTGTTTCTTACTTTTGTTTTAGAACATTATATATAGACGTTCTGTTTGATCATTCACATGATATAATAAGTTGTTTGACAACTTTTTTTACATTTTTCATGATTATTATTATTTTTTAATAAATGTTTTCAATTAAATTATTAACATTTTATTGTTGAAATGATAATTACATAAACATGTGTCATATTATATTTTATCTACATTATAATACAATGTTATCGATAGCAAATAAACAACACCAAATTCCTTTACTTGATAATAATTATAAATTTCTCTCTAACTTTCTTGTTTTTTGTTTATTTTTTTGGCTCATTGATAATTATATACACATTAATACCCACAAAAAACAAAACATC